CCGCGGATATGGTATCAAGGAAATCGTAAAGCAAGATAAGGTTCGCTGACGAATATTAGGGTGCTAAAACTTGCGAATTTGCAGGAGAAACGCCTGCGACATTTACTTGACATTTCTCACCGAATAAGTTACCATATATCAGTTATTAGTGATCAATAACTCTGTCTGCACTACAAATTAAGGATTGATTTCTATGAACCGAATTACTTTCAATCCAGATCAATGTGGAGGGCGACCCTGCATACGGGGCATGCGAATTCGGGTAACAGATGTCTTGGACTTGCTCGCCAGTGGTCTCTCTTTTGAAGATATACTTGACGAAATGCCAGACCTTGAAGTTGAAGATATTGTCGCTTGCTTGCAGTTCGCCACACGTAAAATTGATTATCCCGTAATTACTGCATGAAATTTTGGATAGACGCACAACTTTCCCCAGCACTTGCCCCGTGGATAAGTGAAACTTTTGCAGTTGAAGCGTTTTCGGTTCATTAGTTTCGACTTTGATTCCCGCCCAAATTCACTTCATTTGCTTTCTCAGTAAAGTCCGCTGTCTAAGAAAATTAACACTTTTCTTGTTTTTTTGAGTATTTTGTGTTATACTTAAATAAACAATCCAATAATATAAATTTAAATAGATTGTTTACCCATCTCAATTAAGTGTGGGCTACAAATAACGGAGGAACAACGATTTTTCAACAAGTTAAAACACTCTAATTGGTCAAGATATATGCACGTTAATATTGTGGATTACTCGCGCGCCCCAACTAGGCAATCTTCGATTCTGCTCCGAGTGTAGACGCGCAAGATGGGATAGTAAAGTTTGATGAAACAATCTCCTGCAAGAAACTTTTGGTGACTGATGAGATTTCGGTAACTGACGGAAATGCTGTAATAAGCATAGCCATTATTGAAGGTGAACCTGGTATCTTCATTGCTGAACAGATTGATGAAGCAGAAAATACTGTAAAAGGTGCACATTTGACGATGGCGGTTGAAAAGAAAAAAGGGGTTTTACGGCTTTCAGCGAGTAGACAATTGCGTTTCATATAGGTTGTCTAGTGCCAAAGGGCTGCGTAATGCTGATAAAAACTCGTGATCGACTAGACAAAGACGATGGAATAACCCTTACCACCGGAACTCCAGGTTCACTGATAATGTTTGAAGGCAAATTAGTTGAATCAGATGTCCGATAAACAAGGAAAATTCTATGACTACCATAGAAACAAATGTCAGTGGATTTACTTCCAGAGGCATGAGTCATTACGATCTCAGAAACTATAGAGAAGCTCTTGATGATTTTAACGAGGCAATCCGTCAAAACCCTAAAGAGGCGGCCGCCTTTCGTTATCGAGGATTGGTAAGAGAAGAACTCAATCAAGCCAAGGAAGCGGTCGCCGACTATAGCATGGCTATTTCCATCAACCCAGAGTATGACAAAGCATATGTGGATAGAGGTCGTGCAAGACATAAACTTGAACAGTACAAATTGGCTATCTGCAACTTCCAACAAACGAGCAAAATCGTATTAATCCCACAATGCTGAGGCATTGAGGATAGAGGCAAGAACGAAAATAAAATCAGATGATATTCTTCCGGGAATAAGATATTGATAAAGCGCGTCAACTTCGCAATCGCTGGAGGAACGGACGATCTCTTATTTCAAATTGTGGTGTTGCTGCTATTAATGCATATAACCACCCGCAACTGCCCAAACCCAACCCTACCTGCCGAAGATATTGCCGAAAGAGCGTGGCAGGCGACGTGTATTTGGAGATGAAGGATAGAAATGGCAAAAACCTCGATTGGCAGCGACTCTTTCTTCGTCAAGTCCAAACTAATTGCTACTAATTCCACATAATTGAAGGGCACAGCGCGAGGACACGCAAAATTGGTGGTCAGATACAACAACCCACAACAATATTAAGGCCTTAACGGCAATGACCAGAAAAATGACCCTCGCAATCTAAAGGTGACAGCGTATGTGTCAAACCCCCCTCTTGTGATAGTGACACCGTCAGATTGGTGAGAACTTTTACGTCCCCATGTAATAACACCGAAATGCTTGAAGGCACGTTCTCAGATTGTATACATCAGCATCCAATCAAGATAAAACACTAAAGAATGGATTCATATGACTGCACACCGATTTCTCCGGGAAGTAGTGGAGGAACCCCTGTGCTAAACCCGTAAAGGTGAGGTATTGGGGTATCGCACCATTGTTACCGTAAACTTAGGACTATCCGTTTCGATACCAACCCATTAATATCATCATCCCTCAAACTTAAATCAAGACACTGCTCACCCATTCAAAATCGCTGCGAAAACCTTAGGACAAGACAACCGTTTTCATATCTCCTGATACCTACTTTAGTTGGGATAATGAAGTTAGGCTTGAAAACATCACGGTGCTATTGCACTTAATGAAAACTATCCGACTATGCACACCAAAGAAATGTCCTATGCTTACTTCAAAACCGAGGAATAGCAAGTCCTACCCTCCCGACAGTACACACCGAGCCCTTGCTGAATGGAGCGAGGCAATCCGACTTGACCCAAACTAATCTCTGCCATTCAATCGAGGATTTCTGAAGGTGAACTTGGACCAATACAAATTGCTATATCGCAGATTTCAATTAATAACATATTCAACTCAAACCTAATTTTGCTTAGCACATTCTATCGGGGGTAACGAAAGATAATCTGAAACAATATCCGCCGCTATTAAAGATTCGACACAGTTATCCCTACATTGACCGGACAACCCAGAGGCAATAATAATCAGGGGCAACATAGAGAACACATCCAACTTGGCCAATACGCCGCCGTAATGCAGACTGGGATACCACAATTCGACTCAAACACCGATTATGCTGAAGCTACTTCAACCAGGACTTCGTCAAAAGGAAAACTCGGTCAACTCTGCTGCTATTGCAGATTTTATAATGTAATCCGACTTAAACATAATATTTTATGCCTACTACATCAATAGAGTATATGCGAAAGGTATGCTGGGGCGCACTTTTGAGGCCAAAACAAGGATTAAGGATGGCGTTAAAAAAAAAACTGCGGAAAAGCAGGTAAAATTAAGCTTAAACTAAGATTGAAGAAACGCTTCACTAATGAGTAGCAATCCAAAATAGTAGGAAGTTTGCCTGTCTATGTTGTTTTCCTCACCTGATAACATCCTCCTTTTCGACATTAAAGAGATTACCTGGAACATCATTAGCAAAAGCAAAATGCTAATAACCCAAAATACAATACACTCTACATCGATTTCTGATGCCCATTCCGCGGTTTCAACTAAGACGGTGACACCGGTGCGAAATTATAAACGATTACGATTTTTGTGACTGAAAGCATCTGATATCATCGTCGAAGTCATTTTCCGTCGGTATGGTTAACATTAATTTCGAGTCAGTATTCAAGAACTTCATCCTGCATTTTTAAAAATCTCCGTCCAATCCATCCAGTGATATAGAAAATTCTAAGGTGTTGCCCTAACCCGCAGTTGTAAGAGCAAGTTTTGAAATACGCATGCGTTGCGACTGCTTTGAGTTCTTTATCATTGAGAATCATTTTCCTACCTCTATGATACCGCGTTCCCGTTCCACATCCCTTTGACTTGCCAACTTCATAACTCATCAAGCTCTCCAGCAGCAGTAAGACGGACGTATCCAAAAAATACTGGCTCCGATATTCATTTTCTTCTCTGCTTTTTGAATGGTTCAAAGCCGCTTCACGCTCCTCGCTGCAAACGGTGGGAGGTCAAATCGTCACTAAGATAATTACAATCATCCATCCACCTCGTAGGTTCAGGCTTCGCGTTGTAATATAGCTCCCAAAACTAGTCAAGTGCTGAGGTTTCCTGTCTCTTTAGCAATTTGATAGATTCCTTTGTAACGCGCAGTCACAATTTCCCGCGTAGAGTTCCACTGCCAATCGAGCAATTACCTACCCGTCACATGCGTAGCTTGATATATTTCTATAGTAATTCACCGCATGGGTCAATTCGGAAGAGAGCCATCAATTCAGCCTTCTTATGGCTAATTATTACCGAAATTCTGACCGATCCAGTATTTTGCGTAAAAGTGGAGGATTTTCATTTTCTTGAATTAGCACCGTTATTTTAGCGTTGAGTAATTCCTTCCAAAGTCAGCGATAACGGATATAAAGGGCTTTCTACGGAAATCTGTTGCCGACCGCTACAAGAGCAGCCTGGAACTTTCAATTGTGAAAATGAACGTATCGAAGCCACGCTCGTACAATTCTGCGACTTTGATCCGGTTTTGTGCTCGCGCGAGTGCTCTGCCTCTGCTCTCGGTTGATTCAGATCCGGCGCATTTGCTGTGAGTTGTGCTTGAGAACGGTCGAGTGCCTTTCAGCACGTCCACATCGAGTATCCGATGCCCACTCGCTGTTTCATCATCACTAAAACAGTGACACTGTACGTGACTCGCACCAGCTCAAGACACCACGCCGCGCGTTGCCATTAATTGCGGTGTCTCCGTATTCATCTGGATGCGGATCTCACCACTTCTAAGGCAGTAAGAAATGGATGTGTCCCGGGACGACGAATCTGAAAGTTACCTTCGACTCTCGGGTGCGCTGATGTTCGTCTCACAACATTCCCGTCATAAATCACTGTTCCCGGTCGCCGAATTTCAAGATGAAAACTTCTGTTAACATGAGATTGAGTCTCTCTCCGAAAGCGAACCCAGCCCAACCACTAATTCCGGGGTCTGCTTCTTCTAAGTCTGCGCTTTTTAGCTGATCAAATGCATCGTCACTAGTGCCGATATAGCGGAGTGCTGCTCGGGCAGAGAGTTTCGTCGCATCGCCCATAGAATCGCTTGACAGTCTTGCTACGGTGATCCTCAATCTTGACATACTTTGCGGTTATGTCCCAGTTAAACGTTGTGCCACAAACATTCGTTGTGTCAAGAACATCTCTATTTTCCGTGCCCTGTGACATCAGCTCTTCTGTTCATCCGACAGTTCGTCTACGCCAGGATAGCGATAATGTCCTGGAGGCGTCCATAGTCCCGGTAAAACCTGCTGATGACCTAACGGCCAGTTTGATATGTTCATCACGCGATAATGTCTGCTGATAAGATACGCGAAACTTGATGTCAGCGGATCTACTGCAGGGAGCGTCCCTCCTGACGATGTGTGTTCCGTTTCCATACCGTTGTCACAGCCATCCAAGGTGCGCGAAAACAGCTCGACGACAGCAGGATCTGTATAGTCATCAGCGAACATCGACGGCTTGGAATGAGCGGTAGTAATCGAACCGTGTTGCGTCGAGGGTTGGTTAATTCGCTCCTGCAATTCACCCCATTTCGGTTTGCGAGCGTCTCGGTGGTAGCTCGACAGCGGAAGGAGGCATCCGGCGAGAAGAGTGTGCTGCACACTCACACCTGCCCAGTGTGAAGCGGAACACGTTGTCGATAAGATGAGAACGTCTTCGGCCGCTTGGTCGGCAGGAAGTATTCTGTCCATGGACAGCCCGCGAGCCCGACGCGGAGTCGCGCGCCCGGGGGTTCACTTCATCGGTCCGAAGACATCGCCGTTTTGTCCATCACGCCGTACTCATCATTAGAGTTCAAGCCAGAACTGATTCCCTTCACGTGTCGTTCCCCGACCCCACAGAGACGGAATATAACGCACCGCCGTGTGGTCGCGATGTTGTAAATCAGTTCGGCAACCAGCACGGTCTTACTACGCCGCACCGCCGAAAGCATCCGACCTTTACCACCCGAACGACGGCTGAATCAACTGATGCAAATCAATAACTTTGATGCCTGATTTCTAACATTCGGGTGCTTGTGACTGAGCTCACATTGTGGTGGGCGGCGGTCTATGAATAGAGTATCGCCTCCGATTCAGTTTTGCCGGTCCTTTTCATCGATGGGTGACCCCGTTCACGTCGAAAACTCTACCGAGTACGGCATCGCCGACGGGGACCGTGATGGGACCACCGCTAGTCAAATTGCGAGTGTTGCCACGGACTATGCCGTCTGTTGTATCATTGCGATAGCGCGCACCGATGTTTCTCCTAAATGCTGTTTGAACTTCGAGGACCACGTTCGCTTCCATCGTAACGTGGAACTTTAACAGCGTTAGGATATCCGGCAACATTCGCCTCCGCACTCTATGTCACCGCGCACCGACACTTCTAGATCCCTTTTTGCTTGTTCATGAAGTTCCCTGTTTAATTCAGAGTCGTTGACTTTAGTTTACAACACCCAAATTTTCCTGCTTTCTATCCGTATCGGCCACCGGCATTCCAAGTCGTAGTTCTCTAGATCACATTTGCGAACTATGCACGCGCTAATGAGCGTCAGAGACTCGCGACACGCTCCTGAAAGCGGGCAAGGGCTGCGCCTGATTGATTAACGTCGGTATTGCCGATTTCGAGTTGGCATGAGGAGATTCACGCGTTGAATTTTTTGATTCAGGGTTTTTACGAGTGTTTCACTATATTGTGGCAGACCTCGCGAGCGCGTTCCTGTTCCACAACTCCGACCGACGACTTCACGCCGATGCGGATTCTGCTGGACGATAGCTGCAGCCGCTCTCGGGCGACCTTTCAGATTTATGAGACTCTTTCAAGTTGGCTTTTCCCTTTTAATCTCTTTCTCTAATTCACCACCCGGCGCAAATCCGTTTCTCTTTCAGAAGTCGGTTCGCATCCGTGCTTGTGTGTGAGGAAGGGATCGATCCAGCTTGAGCGGCTTGCCTTGCCGGGCAAATTCGTGAATTCGCCGCGTTCCATCGCCTCTTCAATCTGTTTGTTGACATTGATCGACATCTGGAACCTCCTCACGGCGGAACGGAGTCTACCTACTACTCTTTTAAACCTTCCAGCGCAGATGCACCACTTACAATCTCGGAGATTTCCGTTGTGATCTGTGTTTGACGTGCCCTGTTGCGTTGAAGAACCAACTCGTCGATGAGTTCTTTCGCCTTTTGTGTAGCATTCTCCATCGCTGCCATTCGCGCGGCTTGCTCCGCTGCGTTGGAATCCAGAAGCACTTTCCACATTTGCATGTTTAGATGTTTGCCGAGTAGCATTCTCAAAGAGTTCCACCTGCCCGGCTCATAAATATAATCGAGAAAAAGTTCATCACCTCTGGTATTTCGGGTTCTAATGGGAGAAGTTGCTCAACAAGCACGGTCTGGAGAATAGCAGACTTGAAGTTGTTGTAGATAACCTCGACTTTATCGATTTTTTTATCTGTATAAAGATGTTCAAACTCGTGGACAACGTCAGCAGCTGTTTGGAATTCGAGATGGCGGAAGATATTCGTGTAAGCATCGGTGATGTCATAACCGCGCCGGTGCAAAATGCTGTTGCGATCGTCTACCGATACAGATAAGCGTCACACCTACGCCACTTTCTTGATAGTGTTCTATACGCCGTGTGGTTGCCCGGATGACGTTTGCTGTTGAAACTACCGCACAACCCCCGGTCCGCGGAGACAGAGATAATACAGACATGTTTTGCCTCGCGCACCTCAAGCAATGGATGTATCAACGCCTCAGTTTCAGTGTCCATCTGCGAGATTAGGTGTCCCAAGATAGTGTTGAGTTTGTCTGCATAAGGACGAGTCGCATTAATATTTTCTTGGGCACGGCGCAGTCGCGCTGCAGCAACAACGCGCATTGCAATCGGTGACTTGCTCAATGTTTTTAATGCTGACGATACGCCGTCGAATTTCTCGTAAGGTTGCCATTTTTTCGTATTAACTCCGGCAGAAGATGTGCGCCAAAAACTACGAGTTATCCCAGTTTTCCTTGAATGTTTTCACGGCAGCGTGTAAGGTCTCAAGGAGTTCATCGCCCAGCAAACCGGTTTCTGCGATTTCTGCAAGCAGTTCTGCGTGATTCCTGTCAAGATATTGCAGAAATTCAGATTCAAACCGTGCGACTTCAACCTCAGGAACATCATCCAGATAGCCGTTGGTGCCGCAGAAGATAGAGGCGACTTCCCGTTCTACAGCATCGTTGGTATTGCGGTTGCTTCAGCAATTCAACGAGGCGTGTGCCGCGTAGGAGCAAAGATTGTGTCGACGCATCCAAATCCGATCCAAATTGCGCAAAGGCAGCAACCTCTCGGAAACTCGCGAGATCAAGTTTAAGCGTGCCTGCAACCTCGTCCGACTTCATAGCTTTGACTTGTGCATCGCCACCGACACGAGAGACGGATGTACGCGACATCAATTGCGGGTCCTCACACCTTGGTTAAACAGATCCGTTGTGAGGTATATCTGTCCATCAGTAATGGAGATACGTTTGTGGGGATGTAGGTCGTCAAATCGCCTTCAAAGATTTCAATAATCGGTAGGGCAGTGAGAGACCCGCCACCCAGTGCGTCGCTCAGTTTTGCAGAGCGTTCTAAAAGGCGAGAATGTAAGTAGAAGACATCACCCGGATAGGCTTCGCGCCCCGGGGGTCTTCGTGAAAGCAGCGACATCTGCCGATATGCCCAGGCGTGTTTTGTCAAATCATCGTATATGATGAGAGCATGCTTGCCGTTGTCCCGAAAGTATTCACCCATTGCTGTGCCGGCGTAAGGTGCGATGTACTGAAGCGGTGACGGGTCACTTGCGGCAGCTGAAACGATAGTTGTATATTCCATCGCGTTATGCTCACGAAGCGTATTCGCAATCTGCGCCAAAGTAGAGCCTTTTTGCCCGATAGCGACATAGATGCAGTAGACATCTGTATTCTTCTGGTTCAGGATAGTGTCGATGGCGATAGCGGTTTTGCCGGTGCGTCGGTCACCAATAATCAGTTCGCGCTGACCTCTCCCGATCGGTGTCAAACTATCAATGGCTTTTAAGCCTGTGTAGAGCGGTTCGCCAACCGGTTGCCGTTGAACGATGCCCAGCCCTTTCTGCTCCGCTGGCAGTTGATGTTCCGTTTCAATATCGCCCAAGCCGTCAATAGGTTGGCCGAGCGCATCAACCATCCGCCCGAGGAGAGCCTCACCGACAGGTACTTCGAGTAGCCTTCCTGTCCGCTTCGCTGTATCGCCTTCGTGTATGAGTTGGTCTTCACCAAACAAGACACAACCGACGTTGTCTTCTTCGAGGTTGAAAGCAATACCGTAGACGTCGTTAGGAAATTCGATCATTTCACTTGCCATAGCGTTGGCAAGCCCATGTACCCGCGCGATGCCATCGCCTACCTCCAGCACAGTGCCGGAGTCATAGACATCCATGTCCAGTTCAAACTGTTGCAGTTGTTGTTTAAGGATATTTGATATTTCGTCCGGTCGGACTTCTCTTGCCATATTTTCAGTCCTTTGTGGAGTCGCGCTCGTTTTTTTAAGATGGAAAACCTTAGAAGCTTCACCCTACATCGCCCCGACCCTATAGAAAATAGGCAGAGGCATTCTACAATCGCGCAGTACGTTAGCCTCTTGCAAGTTGTTGCTTCAAGCGTTGAAGTTGTGTTGTAACGCTTGCATCAAAAACGGTGTCGTCTAACTGCACGATGAATCCACCCTGAATTTGTGGGTCAGTTACAGTTTCCAATCGCACCTGTTTTCCTGAATACGTGCTTAACTGCTGCACGAACCGTTCTTCTTGCTCCGCTGTTATAGGGACAGCCGTCGTCACTTTCGCGACGAGCCTACCGGCAGTTTCGTCAACAATCGCTGAAAAGACATCCATTATTGCGACGAGATAGCGCTCACGCTGCTTTGATGCAAGGAGTTTGAGGAAATTAATCGTCAGCGGCTGCATCGCGTCGGCGAAAAGTTGCTGAAACATCTCGCTTTTAAATTGTGGAGACAGAATAGGGCTGTGGATTAACTGCGTGAATCCCTCAGACTGTTCAATCAACTCTCGCAGCTTGTCTACATCTACGATGATAGGTGCCAAGGCGTTCTGTTCCACCGCTGCATCGTATAGGGCGCGTGCATAAGGTTTTGCAACCCGAATGTCTTTCATAGTTCGTTCTTCTAATTATGTGCTTCTGAACAGCACTCCACTACAGAATGGTGGTTATCGGTTAAGAGGTTTTCGTTTAACAAAACCATCTTTCCGACAACTGAAAGGTTTGCGTAGCAAACCGTACTGACAACCGACACCCCTATTCAGTTGGCAACCTGCTAATAGATGCATCAATGATATGCTGATGTCTCTCTGCGTTGAGCTCTGCACTTATGATTTTGCTGGCGGCATCAATTGCGAGTTCAGCGACAACGCCTCGCAGTTCCGAGATAGCTTCGTCTTTTTCACGCTGAATTTCCGCTCTGGCTCTTGCGATCTCATCGTCTGCCTCTTGCCCTGCTTGTGCGAGAATTTGCTGACGATCAGCATTTCCCTGTTCAATCGCCGCTTGAATTTTGGCTTGTGCTTCGGTTTCAATATCGGCTAAACGTTGGCGCGTCTCTGCGGTGAGCCGGTCCAATTCTTCGCGGTCAGCCCCTCAATTGCTCCGACTGCGTGATGATTTCAGTGCGACGTTCCTCTAAGAGTCCACCCACCTTACCGAAGACAAACTTCCAAAGTACCGCGAGTACAACAAGGAAACCGATGACTTGGATGATAATCGTCTTCGGATCGATGCCGAGCAGTGCCAAAAGTCCACCTTCACCGGCAGGTGCTTCAGCGGCGAACGCGCTGCTGAGGTACGTACCCATCAAAATGAAGCAGCATCCATATAAGGCACTGTAACGCGCCGTTTGCAAGCGTCCCTTGCAAAGCGAAAGCCTACGTTTGATGTTTCGCATAAGTTTACTGTACTCTGTTGTTGAAACCGAAGACGTTACGCCTTCTTTTTATTTAACTGAAGACGTTACGCCTCCTTTTCCCTTCTTTAGCCCCGTAGGGGCGAAATGTTTATAGTCAAGGGATATATTAATTTCCGGCTCCGACATCTGTCGCAACGCGTTTCGCGTCTGCATCAATCATCTCTCTCAGCATCTCGCCTTCGGGGAGTTTACTCTCTAAGACAAAGAACATCAACAGCGAATAGATAACGAGCGACTCGATGAGTGCCAAACCGATAATCATCGCGGTTTGAATTTTCGCAGATGACTCAGGTTGACGTGCAATTCCTTCAAGAGCAGTACTTGTTGCCTTGCCTTGCGCTGTTGAGGCAAAAAATAACAGCGATCGGCAACCCTAAAGTTACACCAAACGCCAACACTGCTAAATAAATCATGAAATGTCCTCCTTGGACGGATAGGGGCAAGTTTTTACTTGTCCCACGGAATTAATGATGCGCTTCATACGCTTCTTCATCGTGTTCTAGAAAAGCACGATATAGATAGATGTTAGATGGTGAAAACGAACGCTTGCAGAAAACCACCTGAACAATCCAAAGAACAGCATCGGCACTTGAACGGGATGATCGGCAAGCACCGCGATCAGGACGAGGAGCCCCATTTTCGTGAGCTCAACAATCACTGATTCTTCACAAAGATGTTGCCGAAAAGACGACAGCGAGGAAAACCGGGCGAGATAAGTGTGCAATTATCTCAAGTGGAAACATCAAAATACCCAACAAAGGAGGGTCGCCAATGAGATGCTTGAGATAAAAATATTTAGTTATTTTTGATAGAGATTAATTTGAACGTAATACAGCGGTATGACGGAGTTGAGGTGTTTGTTTGTTTTAAATCTGCTTGTTGGAGCTTGATAAACTGGGGATGAGTCCGAGATAGTTCAGGGAAAGAATGAAGATGAAGAACGAACCAACGAACGGCACATACTTTTGTGCCGTGTGTTCGCCTAAAAATACCACCGAAGAAAATCAATTTATACCGCGACAAACAACTCTAAAAGCGTTTGTCCGTTTTCCTTCGGGGAGCCGCTTCAATTCGAGTTACGAAGATGAAAAACAGCACTAAGACGAGAACCGCAAAATATGTGTTTGGAATCAGGTCGGTTGTTATGCCACCGACTGGGTTCTGGAATGATGTCATATGGTAACATCCGTGAAATCGGATAGAGCAAGTGCGGGGTACCTGGTCGTCGGAATGGGTTCGGGTTGAGGTGGATGTTTCCCTGCTGCGAAATCCCGGCTATGCTGCCAAACTGAGTCACAACAACAAAGCAGATAAAAAAAATGGTAGTTTTCATGTTTTGTCGTTGGTCTCTGAAATGCGGGGTAGTTTCGGGACTTCCAACTTGGAGTTCTTGCAGTTTTTCGCCTCAAGACTGATTGGGATTCTTTTTTTAAAGTGATAGTCACCATCAAACGATTGCTGATTAATGATAGCAACTTGTACTAAGGCAATCCCTCAGCGACGCGTTTATTTCATCGATTCCATTTTAAACAGGAGGTAGAGGATTGCACCAAGTACTGTTATTTGCGATTGCAGGATGAACCAGCTAAGTAATTTGTGTCGCATTGTTTTCCGGGGCGGAAGAAGCTCCGCACAAGTTCCATGGACCAGAATGACTCAGATGATAGCGTGCGACCAGAAAAACTTGGGAGCGCGAGGCGTTTGTTATCTAAAAACACTTCCGAAATGACTACGGTGAGGCAGATGTCAAGAATAGACCTGGCGGATTTAAATGGTCTCAAATTTCCAAAACGGGACCCATGGACTCTAACTGACTCCTTTGTCAATAAGGACGGGCATCGTACCGCCGAGTTTCCTGTCAACGTTGTTCCTCCTCAGTGTCCCGCGCTTGTGGTGAAGAGGAAGCCCGACGCTGTTTTTCTGACGTTCGAGTTTGCGGTTCCAGCGGGCGATGACCGGAAACATCTCCATGACCCAGCGGTAACTCCCATTCGAAACCGATGAGGATCAACTTCTGCGTTGCCTAATTTTCCACGAGCCACTTGCCACCGAAATAGCCGATACAAATCGCGAGCGCAAGAGTTTATCCCGATCGAAGCGAGGTCGAACATCCCGATGTTGTCATTTTTCAGATGTTTCAGCCGTTCCTTAAATATTAACATCGCTGCCCCTCAAAAAATTGGAAACGTTTATCAGATGGTAGTTTTATCAAACAACGTTAATATAATAACACGCGGATGCGGGGGAAATGAAAAAAAAAAATGGAACGCTTTTGAGTTCGGAGTTTGCAGGGCGCGGAAGAAAGGGGATAGAGGGGGTTACGGTTATCTCAGTAGTAGTAAGGTTGCTCGCCTATCTACAGTGATTCCCATTCCTCGTTTTTAATATGGTTGAAGTTGAGTGCCTGTCCTGTGTTTTATTTAACTTTATAGATCTTCCGCAAAGGACCCATGCTTTAGTTTGGGGGTAGGCGGGCATTACGTTGTGAAAATAACTAACTTGGACAATTAACATAAATTGTGGTATAATTTCTGTAACTTGATGGACAACGCTTTCACCCTGCAAATACTTTGTGCAGGAGTTGTCCGCCATGTGAGGTGGGCATATAACAAGTCGTAAGTGAACATTGCTAAAAAATATATCGGTTAGCGGCCGTAATATTCGGAGCGGAGTGTGAAATCCGCACGTTGCGTTTGCTACCCATTCTTTCAACTTTCTATCCATTTTGGATAGAGGCAGCGGGGTAGCAAGATTTTGAGTTGATTTGCCCGAAGCGATTTTTTCACGCAACGGGGAATCGCTGCTGGTTGGAGAAAGCGTGAACGGTGGACATTCGGGAAAAACGCTTTTGTCTAAGAAGACGAAGCTTTACCTTTAGGTAGTGGGTGCTATCACCCGATTGAATGACTGCCCAATGGTCTTCGGTCGGAGAAGGTAACGTTATGATTTCGGAGGGAATCTCCTCTTTGTTGTCAATTCGCTTTTTCCGATATTTACATTTTATTGTTACTGTTTTGGGTATCTGGCTTTTTCATTGTACTCAGGTTGATATCGACCGAGCCACCAATTAGGGAAGTAGAGGCGTATTCTGTCCAGGATAGAGTGGTATACGCCCGTTTTTGTGCTGTTGTTGTAGCAGGTCATTGTGAGGTTCGCACGTAAAGTGTGCATTTTGTCGGTGAGGATTCGCATTATCTTGATGTGTGTTGTGCGTTTTGTTTAAAACCGACGCCACTGTCGGGACGTGTGTGAAACCGGCTGATGAAAATCCGCCGAAGATATTTCGCCAAAACGGTTCCAACCAATTTGGCGTAATACCGAATCGCCACATCAGCACAGTAAATCTTATCTTATTGATGGGGACGGATCAGTGAGAGTACCTGGTCGAAATTTTTTTTTGAGCGTTTATAACAAATGTCGCGCAGTTTCTGGTGGTTGTTCTGTGATAGTCGCAAAACGAGTCGGGTTTCGGGGGTGGGTCAACGTCGCTTTATGCTTCTCATAGGAATAAATCCCAACGGATCCCCAACATCTCCGTAGTTTCAACAGGTACCGCCCAGCTTCCGCTGCTTGTTATGGATATACGTGCCCAGTACGCACCCCACTGCAGGGTGACGGCAGTCTGTTGTCCATACAATAGAGATACGTGTCCGATACTGAAGCGTCCAGAGAGAGCTTATCCACAAATTTTCCTGATATTTCAAGGACGGTCTGCTGATTCCGCTCTTTCGGAAAGACAGAAAAAGTGGTTTTCCGTTTGCAAACGGGAGGCTTTAACACGATGGGTAACCCTGTCTCTCTGCAGTGTAAATTGCTGTTATTTTTCGATTTGATGAAAGGATTGCATCCCAAGGCTCGCGGTAATAAGAAAGGTCGCCCACACCTTCAATCTGGACGATAATATCTAACTCGTGGGTCAATGTGATGAAGTTCCGAAAAGATCCCAAAAACCGTAGTTCCACTGATTTAAGTCGTATAGGTCCCCGACCTTTTTGAAGGCGGCACATTCGCCTTCATCGACCCAACTCATCGTAGACGACCACATAGTTACAACCCACGACTTCAATAGTTCGAGATTTGCGCTTGGAGAGTCGGAATCTGAAAATAGATTGTCCTCGACTGAACCGCCGATGAGCAGAGTCGGTTCACCTTTAATTCCCAGTAACGCGGGTTGCTGGGTAAAATCTGGACTTTTTCTTTTTTCATTTCTGTATCTTTCGGTATAGTTTCTGTGCTGCTGAGCAAAGGGTTCAAGATAGAGCCATAAACCAACACAAATCTGCTGATTTTATTGGAGGTGTCAATTTAGGTGGATGTTTTTGAACATGACAGTTCATGCAAATAGATCGAAATGTATTAGAGATAGCGTCCCTGTTAATCAAGGGTTTATATATTGTATCGTATCGATTTAGCGGAATGCAATCCGAGCGTTCATCAAGACCTCAGAAGTTTTAAGTAACCATTTGGGTAATTCTATATCCGAAAATCTTCGTTCAGACAATTAATGCCTACATTACCGATTAAATTGTTAATTTTCATACGAGGTGCAGGTACTTGAGGAATGTTAGTTTCGGTGTGGAGTGGTGGACGGTGAAGCCGCGACGCCCGATCGATTGGTAGACACCGAATCCTCCATAACATTTGAGGAAATAATAGAAGTCAATATCAACGGAAAGGAGAGGAGACGGGCCAACCTCCACAATGGTACATTTCGCACGGGGCATGCCATACCGTGCGCCGCACCCCAACGCCCGCGATGCGAGCACCCGCAGGGAACAGAGACAGATCGATTCCGTCAAGAACTGATAGAAGATGTCGATCAGTTTAGCACCCACCGATTTTCGTAAACCTATCTCCCGAGTTTGTCACCGACAGAGACGAGACAGATATATGATGCCAAGCAGCGTAACGAATAGCGAGGAACCGCATGATGCCCAGGTGATTTTTATCCTTTTTGATTTGGAAAAGTCGGTGAGCCGTTCAGTTTTCTCTATCCAAAGCCGATAACTCTTCTTCCCTCGGTTTTTTTACGCGAGCGTGTTTTTAACAGAAATCAATACTATGTCGATCCTGCCACCTTTTCTAAAAAAGGGACGAGCAAGTAGTCAACGTAACGAAAGCCTTTCACCCGTTGGTGATAGGTGTAATGGCCAGAAATGTCAGCCAAGGAATACGTGTCGCTGAGCTCATGCCTTTGCGCCATCACCCCGATAACCCGCAAGCCTAATCTGCGATTGCCGCCAATGATATCGAAGCTTCAACTATTGTTACGATGGGCGATAGTTTTCCCCAAAAAGCTCACGGGCGGTGTTAGCCCGAGGACACAGACATGCGCTGCGGTCTCTATATCGTTCTGTGAGAAATCTGCCGACTTGTAACTCCCCAACCCAGGCGAGAGAGTAGCTGCTGTGAACATTCAAACGCGTTTTCGCTTGATTCCCGTTTCGGCTGCAACAAAGAGGGTTGAAGTTTCGACATTTAGGCAAAGGGACAATATAGCACATTTTCGGCGGCATTCGCCTACAATCGCAGAAGCGCCTTAAGGGTATACGTTCTGTAGTGCGCCGGACGAGCCGCGCTGCCCATTTCCAATAGAGTTCCTGTCCAGAATCGATTGGTTTGGCACCCCCCCCATTCATTTCCAGGTTTTGAGCGATGAGGTTCGGCACCATCGCCGATAGCGATCATGCAAAGCACACCGCAATCCCGATGGAAATACCGAGAATGGACAATCCTGCACGAGCATATTTTGGCGAGGGGCTCACACCCACCATTGATAGCATCACGAAGGTTCATCATAGTAAAATAACAATTACTTTTTAAACATTGGGGTAGGCGAGGATACATTCCTCGCCAGCGGTGGTGAGGGTATTCCCTCATTCATTGACAACTGTCCACATCTTTTAGGTTTTATATAATCACTTTTTATTTTGTTGGATACTTCTGTCCCAGAACTTCAGAAACTCTTCATCATCCTTTACATCCGAAAATTCAGGAGTCTCAAGGAAAGTCGGGTAGATGTATCCTGATTATACGGATTTACCACATAGTAGTCCTGAGCGACCTTTAAAATGATGTAAAGTCTTTCTCGATCCTTCTCGAAGCCCAATACTACCGCAAGCTGGAAGTGACCATAATTGTTGTTATCTTCCAAATCAATGGCGACTTGTAGGAAACGTCTCGCCTCGTTATACTTCTTTGACCACACAACAACAACCGACATCGTGAGCAAACCAATAAGTTCGTCGAGATTTTACAGTTGACCCCGCATCCCGTTTTTTCAATCTCGCCCTCCAGATACGCGCTCATTTCCGTAAAGATTTGATCGAAAACGTTCCCAATCTTCCGTTTGCCGTTAACCAGAAGTCGATTTTCTTTCGCAGTCAACCAGAATAAAATAATGCTCTGACCGGGTGCGTTGTTAGCCCGTCGTTCCACTTTTCATTTCAAGGAGTGCTTCATCGAACCTGTCGTTGCCTCGTAAGGACATCTGCTCACGGTTGGCAGGAAACTGCAACGACTGTAGTAATTCACTCCAGGGTTCTCTAAGCGTTCAGAGGCTTCATTATAAAGTTGAATCCATCATCAATACGGCTTCCGCGCCCGTCCAACATTCAGCCACTCTCATGGAAGCAGTCTCTAACACATATTTATCTGGCAAGTGCTGACACGTCCAACGGTAAAGTCGAGAGTGTTCTTCAATAGCCTCTCGATTTCTCCCAAGAAAGCGAGACTATCGACTAACCCGTCATGCGACCAAAAACGCTCCGTATCTCTGGCGCGTCATCCATATACTTACGGAGTAGAGGGGACCTGTTTTTCCATCCGAGTTTGCCCATATACGGGTATATACATCAACAGAAAGATGCACCATTCGGCGTGATTTCACCGTAAGCGCATCTTCAATTCGTGATGCCCCTTAGAATATCCGCTCTTGATGTAGGTGTTGATTTACTTGTGTTCCATGAATGCATTTGAACTTGCTGCGAAGTTTGCTCTAATTG